ACTGCTACTGCTACTGCTACTGCTACTGCTACTGCTACTGCTACTGCTACTGCTACTGCTACTGCTACTGCTACTGCTACTGCTACTGCTGCTGCTGCTCCTGCTCCTGCTGCTCCTACTGCTCCTACTGCTCCTACTGCTACTACTGCTACTACTGCTACTACTACTACTACGGCGACGGCGACGGCGGCGGCGGCGGCGGCGGCTGCTGCGGCGGCGGCTGCTGCGGCTGCTGCTGCTACTGCTGCTACTACTCCTACTACTGCTACCACTACTACTATTTCACTCATTTTCCAAAGGTAACTTCCAAGATGCACGGGAGGATCTAAACCATTGTAAAGAAATCACCGGTAAATTAATTGAAAGGTCTTTCTGAATTTTTTGCTATATATAACTCATTACTAGTTTCTCAATTTTTGTTGTTGTTTTTTTTTTTTATTTTTATACATAGAATAAACATACCAAAGAAGCGAGTCGCTTTCTAACTTTAAAAGCATTTCTAGTCATTTTCAAGACACATTTGTTTTTCGGAAGAGTGAAAGCAATTCACCCACCATAGTTATCACCAGGAATGAAAAATCACATGAACGGATTGTAGATAAAGTAAAATTAAGTGTGACGATGCATCCCGAACAGCAAAGACTAATACAGATTTTTGTTGCGTCATTAGCTATGGATCCAAGCCATTTTCCTAAAATTGGTACTTACTCTGACGCCCTACTTAGAGGTGAGAAAATATACCAATATAATGTAGTGCATGAAATTTGCAATTTTGGAGTTAAGGTAATTGTGGAATCTGTTAGTGTTTATTTTTAACTCCCAGTACAGTCGGAATTTCCAGAATTTTCGAGCTAACAAATTTATTTGAAATTCAGCTTCTTAAGTCAAGAAAGACTTGATGTGATTTTCTAGAGAAAAACAAATAAACATACATTAAACTTGATATAACCTATATCTCAGCAGTATTGTACATGAATGTGACTAACCTACAAACACAATACGCAAGTAGCAGTCATAAGCTGGCAGAATTGGTGAATTGCCAACAGGGCGCTTTGCAACTTTTAGGTTACCGTATACCTTTGGAGCACCTTTAGAGGCGTCTCGCGTCCAAGCGATGTAGGGCGTCTGGTTTAAACTGTAGATACCTAAACCCCTACATCAAATTAAAGCTTATAACACTGCTCCAATAATGATTTTGAAATAAAATGAATTATCGAATTTTTCACAACCTTTAAATGTGAGCGTCTGAATCATCTTTTGGGTCCCTTTTGAACCCTAGAAGTCAAAGGGAATTTGTTCGTTCGCCCTCAAATTTGGACAGTAGCTAGTTTGATATATAAACAACAAAAATATGTCTGCGAATTATTTATTTCTAAATAATTTTTCGCCGAGAGCGATTTTTCTATGATCACTCCATATTTTTTAATGCTATTTCGAAAATGTTCTGTAACTTTTCACTGAAATTGAATATGGCAAATCGCAGACACTTTTAGCGCTTCGGGTCCCGAAACTGAGGGACAAATTAATTAAGCGAAAAACAAAATTAGTTTTGACTTGTAGCTTTCAAAAGATGATTCAGACGCTTGCATTCAGAAGTCATGAAAAATTCGACAATTTATTTTATTTCACAATTCTTGGTCTAGTTTGATAACCAGATCTATAAGCTTTAATTTGATATAGGGTTTAGATATCTACAGTTAAAACAGAACGCGCTACTTCACTTGGACGTGACACACCTCTAAAGGTATACGGTAACCTTAAAAAAGCTGCTCGAAAAAGTAAAAGCTCAAAAGTTGAATATAATTTTGAAAAAAGTATTGTAAAATGACAAACTCCAAGTCTAACAAAATTAAAAGTCAATATGTAGTAAACACACTCAAAGCTGGGAATGGAAAATAATCGTAAATGCTACTTTACTCTATTCCGGAAGAATCGGAAAATAAAAAGTAAAAAAGATATGACTTGTAAATTGAAATAAGGTCACATAACAGGTGAAAGGGCGAAAATATACCAAAGACGTTGGAGAAAACCAAACTAAATACCAACCAGTTGCTGGAGTAATAACGACACGGCTTTAAACTGAACATGAGAACTGACTAAAAAATATGAAGAAACTTTAATTACTGAAATTGTTCCGTTTCAAAATAAAGACATATAGGAGTGAGAAATGTAAGCGAGTGTAACGACGAGAGTTTTTCCTAGCGCACCACATCAACAAGTAAAAATACAGGAAAACGTTCTTTCTATTTAATTTAAAACCACATGCAAACATTCAGGCACTTTTGAGGAAAAAATTCACACATATTTTTCAAATAGCATGGTTTTCGACTAACCCATTCCATTGTAAACAAGCTGTAAGAAACAGATTTTTTTTCCCTAGCGCCATGAGATCAACAACAAAAATAAATAAATAAACAACAAAACAGCAGGATCAGGGAGGCTGCTGCCAAGGCGTTAACCCAATGCCACGCTATTATTTACTTTTTTCCTTTTATTAACTTTCATGGCATGAATTGCATGTTATGTAGCTGAAAATTTTGACGTTAGTCTCTAAGTCTTTTGTTCTTTTTGCTCGTTCTGCAGAATTTCAGTTCCTGGCAAGGACTCAGAATATTGAAAAGAGACCTTGCGATTTCTACAAACAGATCAGCTCCTTTGAGAAGAGAAAAGAAAATGGGATTGCACTCTCTATAGTTTTGGCCCCTTGTTTCTCGATATAGAAGTCTGTTTCTTGCCTATAGTTTTAAAGCATTATTGTCGTTTTACGATTGATTGTCAAAACTAATCCAAAATTGGTTTGATTTTGCTTTGCGATACTTTTTGAAATGTTACGATACAATCTGATGCAAATCAGATGTGAACCAAACCCAATCATGACCTGGTCACGTGCGTTTTGTCGTGCCATGCACTCTCATTGGTTTATTGTGTTGTTAACGTTTATTGTGCGTGACCACTTTATTTTGGGTTTACGACGGTCAAATGTTAAAAAATTCTACTACATCATTTTCATTTTTTTATTGCCACTCGTGCCGCTTACAATACTTCTCATAAAATATGATTACATACGCCACTTACAATACTAATACTACCCACAACACTCATAATGACATGCAAAGTTCAAATACTTAACAACAATGCAGTCTTCTCGACTAGCTGAGCATTCGTCGCACTAGTTACGTAATAGCTCTGCAATAAATACCGAGACGACTTGTTCACTCCATTCGTGCTCGGTTTTCCACCCTGTTTTCCAGCGGAGCGCGGATCAGGGAACGGCCCACCCTCCCACCTCCATCGTGTGGGCCGTACCGCTAGACTCGACCTCCCCTAAGCCAAGCTGTTCATCTTGGCTTAGTCCGCTGGTCAATCGTTATTCCCATATCTTATTTCAACTGAGTATGAATGAGAGTGTTGTGAAATGGAATACTACCAATACTAATCACTCACTACCCAATTCGTGTTTCGTTTCTCACAGCTCTGAAGCAATTTTTCAGAGGAGAAGCCGAGTCCCAGCAAAATGACTTTAGAAATGCGTTAAGTATCTACATTAAAGGAATAGACATGAATTGTAAAGATGACGGACTGAACGTCAATCTTTACAGTCAAAGGGCAGACCTGCATTGTTTTCCGGGTGAGTTTACAAGGCTACATATCTTTTCCAGCTTAGTTAAATTTACCAACTTCTAGGTATAAATTTTCCATTTTCTAAATTATTGTCTACACACTTCGTGTTAGTTTGGAGAATTTGTTGATATATCATTCGATGAGTTTCTTTATTCTCCTCATCTGCCTGCTTGACTGAGCATCAGTTCTGTAAGAAGAAAACAGGTATTAATCACCTTTCACTAATTTATACATTTCTGATGTAATTCACAAAATCTTAATTTTGTAGCACTTTTAAATACAATTACATCCTCGATTTCTTCAGCTTTGACTGAACAAAACCGAACAGAAAAGTATCAGTGAAACACAGCAGCTAGAATCTTTAAACACCTTGCGGTCTTGTAATGCTGCATACAAATAAGTCTTGTTGTTATTGTTGTTGTTGTGGTTGAGTAGCGAGATTTTTTTATTTTTGAGTTGAGTTTTGAGTAGTAAGATGTTAACAGTAAGATGTTTTAACTGTCGTTATTACCTAATTTCCATAGGTAATTCATGTGAAGACCACAAGGGTAAAAATCGCGCAGAAGAATTGGGACAAGATTTCTTCATAGGTAAATCAAACTTCTGTAGACTATAAACCTCCTGCGTGTTTCCTATTTTTTAGTTTATGCATTTCAAAGAAACTTCATTAGTAAAACAGTTGAATCGGCAGCGGGTTGCTCGTCATTTTCAAGTTACACTCGTCACTTTGAGGACTGAAACTAATAAATTTATTTAGCTAGATTGTCATCAGGGTTTTCTAAAACCAAGAATTAAAAAATCCCAAAATTATCAGGACAGAAAAGATTGATATAGATTTGTTTTGCACCATTAGAACTATTTGACCAGAATGAACAACAATTGGTGCAAGACATGAGTCTGAGCGCTTCACGACAACTAGATTTTGACGACGACGCTTTAAGAGGTGAGAAAAGTTTCCAATAAGGAGAAATGTATGTTCTTTTCTTCCTGAGGATTTTCCATTTTGAAACTGGGACAGTTTTTTTTTTTAACGGAATTTTCTAGCTACAGGGGAAAAGGCTTATTATAAGACCAAAGGACTTAGATCGAGTTTCATAAAATAAATATGTACACGAAACACATGAAAATGAAAAAACAAAACTGACTGCTAATCAATACGTCAACATCTCTTTAGTATTACGGCATGACACGGAACATAAATATTAAAATTAGCTAAAAGTAAATCTATAAATAAACGTTTATTTTTCATAGGTGAAATTGTTGACAGTATGCCGCCTCACCGATCGTTTTTCAGTCTCAAAATTTTTCATTCTCTTAGCCATTTTTGTATTCGACAAAATCGAAGAAAACATGAAAAGGCAGAAGCCTCGTGATTTCTAAAGGAAAGATCTTTTCTAACCAAGTTACAAAAGCAAATGAGTGACGAAAGTCATCTAGAATTGCTTTGGTTTTGCTTTAATATGCTTTTTGTTTGTGTTAAAAACAAAAGACTCGCCCACCACCCCTCAGATGATTTGATCGCCTGCGTTTTCTCAAGCTAGCTTCTGGTTCTTTCATTGGTTAATTGTTTTGGTTACGATCACTGAGAATACTTTACTTTTGTTTTAGGCTATCCCCTATTTCTTACTCCGTTTGATGTGGTCCGAATCACTGAAATTTTTGCGTTTACTATGACACAAAATTCCCTTGTGATGGACGTAAAGATGTAGTTTTACAAATGCAGATTAATCAACATACCATTTTTAACCTTGAGTTCAAGGATAAGGAGAAGTGTTATGCAACAGTTCACACCCACGCTGATTTCTAACTTCATCTTGTTGTTTCCAGTCCCCACGGCAATGAGACTAAAGGAAGAGGGTTCACTCTTAGTTCCAGACTCTTCCTGGTAATTTTTTGGGAGGAGGGAGCCTTTTTGTCACTCCGACTGACCGATCGTAGACTGTTCACAGCCCTCTATTTCTTCGTATTTTCATTCGATCATTGAAAGCGCGGATAGAATTGCAAGAGAACTGGAACCCAGCGGAAAATGGGAGACTTGACAGAATAGGGGGTGGGGACCGAGAAAAGTAAAGGGGCTGTAGACATCTCTGGAAAAAAGTTTATTCACCGTGACACCTTTGAAGGAAAGGGAATTTACCGTTTCTCCAGAAACGGAAAATTCCCATTGGTTGAAAGGCGACGAAAGTGTCATTACCTTGACAACGGCCGATCATAATTGGTTTGTTTATAGAATTCTGTTAGAAATATTTCCACATGTTTCTTCGCTCAAAGATGAACAGAAAGAGGTTGTTGTTCATCTTCTTCGATCGAAGGACGTTGTTACAATTTTGCCGACAGGCTTTGGGAAAATTCTGATTCATCAACCTTTACGCAACGGCAAAAGAAATGCAAATGCAGCGAATGCTGTTGTTCTCATTGTTTTACCACTGACTCAAAAGGATCATGAAAGAACAAATAGAAGAGATGGAAGAGAATGTGATTCCTTCCATCGTTTTGTCAACAAGGGACGACATGCTTCCGCCGATTAGAGAAGCGAAATACAAGCTTGTTTTCGTTGAAACGGAAGGCCTTTGGATGCAAAATTCCATAACATGTTGAAGAACAAAGATTCTCTGATACCCAATTGTGTTATGCTTAGTGAGTGCAACTTAAACCTTCACATTTGGGCTCAACAAATAAATTTTCCGTTGATACATGAGAAGTTGTACCAAAATTCCTCAAGCGAATAGCAAAGGAGCAAGTGCATATCCTACAAGAATCGAAAAGACCGNGGCTCAACAAATAAATTTTCCGTTGATACATGAGAAGTTGTACCAAAATTCCTCAAGCGAATAGCAAAGGAGCAAGTGCATATCCTACAAGAATCGAAAAGACCGTTTGATTTCGGCTTTCTCCTCCTATTTGCAGGTTTATTTTGGAATAACGGTCGTGTAAGACGATATCCTCAACTCCCAAGTGTACGTGTTGTTGGGTGCAAACTGGACTTGTAATTAATTAAACGAGCAATTTACCGCCCAAATTTAATTGGTCCGATTTGTTTAATAAGAGGCGGAGCTGTTAGTGACAAGGCGATAACAAGGGGAGGGGCCTAATAAAACCACTTTTTTCCAAAGCTGCAGACTCTCTATTCTTCGTATGGCTCGCTTCGTTCGCCTCCCCACCCCTACCTCCGCGTGCTTCGCGCTTGCTTCGTGCTTGCTTTTTCTTTCGCGTGCGTTGAAAAGTAGGGAAGCTGTGAACAGTCTAACCGATCGCGACTTAAAATCAGACTGATTGTCCTCAACGCTGAAAGAAAAAAAAGTGGACGCAATCGGTAGTCGTCTGAAAATCACTAATTCTCATCATTCAATTTGTATTTTGTTTCTCATAGAAATAGCACAAGAGAATGAAGAGAAAGGAGATGCTGAGTACAAAAAAAATGAATTTAGTAATGCCGCCGTTTTCTACACCAAAGGAATTGAAGTGAGCTGCAAAGACGTCGCACTGAACGCTGTTCTTTACAAGAAAAGGGCAGCCTCTCACTTCTTTCTGGGTGAGTTCAGGCCACTATTTGATTTCCAGTTTAGTAACAATAAGTGGAAGCGTGGTGACCTCATGGTTAGTGCGCTCTTGATCGAGCAGTCCGGGCTCGAGCACTGGCCAGGGACACTGCGCTGTGTTCTTGGGCAAGACGCTTCACTCTCACGGTGCCTCTCTAGTCTCACTCTTCATCCAGGTGTATAAATGGGTACTAGCAACTTTGATGCTAGGGGTAACCCTGCTATGGACTGCTATCCCATCCAGGGGGGAGTAAAAATACTCCTAGTCGCTTCTGATGCTACAGAAACCGGCATAATATAAGCTCCGGCCTGATGGGCCTGACTTGGCTGCTAGGCAGACTTTACCTACCTTAGTTACAATAAACTTAAGGATGTTCTCAGGTCTTCTAAAAATAAATTTTCCATTGCTTTAAATTATCCTAACACGAAAACCCATTTTTTAGCTTTGAGAATTTGGTAATACATCATCTTTGATGATTACGTTTATTCTCCTCACCTTTCTTGTTGACTGAGTATGAATACTGTAAGAGGAAAATAGGTCTTCAGCACTTTTGCTAATTCCAGTGGTATCAATACCAATCTTACTCTTTCCTGAGCTTCAGTGACCCAATAGAAAATATAATGGATGATAGTCAGTGAAATGTCAGACTAATTGGATAACAGATCAAGAGATTGAATAACAGTCAAGTCAGGGTCCTCATGTTGTATTTTTAGAATACTATCTTCTGATCTTGGACAACTGAAAATTTAAGACCACCCATCCACTGATTCCAATTCCAATGATGGAAAAATGGCTCGTTTTGGTTTTAGTGCGAATTCATTATTGATTTGGGGAAGGGGAGTTACTTTTCTCCTTTCGTCCTTAGATTCCTTAAGGGTATACTAGGGTAAGCGGGAATTGCTCCCACTCACCCGGGCGTAATTTGGTAAAATATTGAAGGGGAGAAGTTAACTTTGGGCAAGCTTCCTGTTTGTTGCCAACAAGAGATTATATATTATGATCTCTTGCTGCGAAGTATGATTTATCAAACTTTGCGCTTTTTTATTATCGTAAGCAGTTTTACTCTGCCCAGCTGAAATAGGCTCTCTGTGCGCTTTACGTACCTGTGGTTTTTACCGAGAAAAGTCACTCTTTTTGCGCAGGTAATTCTCCTGAAGCCAGGAGGGATCTAAACATTGCAACAGAAATCTTGCTGGCTAATGTCACAGGTGAATCAACGTTCTGTTGAGTTTTATTTTGTTTTGTGTTGTTGTTGTTGTTTTTTTTTTTTTCATGTACGACGTATGTCCTTGCTTGTTTCTCTAGTTTTCGTGTTTTGGTTTGATATGCCAAATTTATGCCAAAGAATCCTTACAAGCAGCAGGTGTCTTTGCGACTTGAAAAATAATCCTCGTCATTTTTAAGATAGATTCGTCGCCTTGAAGATTGAAAAGTTTTATTTACGTGATTGATCTTACAAAAACAGTTATTACAAATAAACTGAATTTAAGAGTCACATAACCTGTTGAACAGAAAAGACCAATACAGATTTTTGCGGCCTGATTCGTAATGAATCCGAGCGCTTTATAAGAAATGATTTTGACAGTGACACAATGGGAGACGAGTAAATATTGCAACAAAGTACGGCATGAAATTTTTATTCCCAAATTTGCAATTTTGGAATTAAGGTTACCGCATACCTTTCTGAGAGGACCTTTAGAGGTGTCTCGCGTCCCTGCGATGTAGCGCGTCCTTTTTAAACTATAGATACCTAAACGCCTATGTCAAATCAAAGCTTATAGAGCTGGCTGGCTATCACACAATACCAACAAGTTTGAAATAAAATGAATTGTCGAATTTTTCACGACCTTTATAAATGTGAGCTTCAAACGTCTTTTGGGTCCCGTTTGAAAGCTGCAAGTCAGAGGAATTTGTTTGTTCTCAAATCATTTTGGAAAGTAGCTAGTTTGACATAAACAACTAAAACGTGTCTGCGAATTTTTTTTCCAGATCTTTTTCTCCGGTCGCGATATTTCTGCGATACCTCCATATTTTCATTTTTTCATCTAATTCGAACGTGTTCTGTAACGCGAGACACCTCTAAAGGTATACGGTAACCTTAAGCGCGGAAAATACTACTTTATCCTATTCTGAATGATCGCAGTTTTGTTTTTGTTTTTTTTTTTTTGACTTACAAATCTATTTATCGTTTATTTGTTTTAGCGGGAAAATGCTCGCGTAAAAACTAGCCTGTTCGAGGCTCTCCATCATTAGGGACGATCGGAAAAGCGGGCGGGCGACGGGCAGGGTCTTTTCTCTCTTGGATCCCGCTCGTCGCTGATCCCCCTCGTCGCCCGCTCGCTTTTTCGATCGTCCCCACTGACCGAGAGCCTGGAAAAGGTTAGCAAAAACCAAAAGGATAGCAGGATCACATTCACGCTTTTGCACGTCACCATCTCAACCAATCAGGCCCCAGTTCAAAGGGTGGGTAACACTATCCAGTAGATAGTGTAGTTTGTTTTGCCAACACTTATCCACAGGATAGCGATTTATCCGGTGGATTTATCCAGCCTTTGAACAACTGGGGCCAGATGCAAAAGCAAAGCCATTCTTACCGGTCAAGTGTGTTTTCCAGCACTTGGTAACAGTCATGATCGTTTGTTTTGCGTTCTCATTGGTTTTATTGTACTGGTTATGTTGTTGCTGAAATCAGCTCAGAAAATGCTTTGTGTCTGATAGCAACAAGAAAAGAAGAAGCTGAGCGTAAGGAAAATGAATCTGGAAATCCGTTACGTTTCTTTACTGAAGGGGTTGATGTAGACTGCAAAGATGACGAACTGAACGCCATTTTTTACACCAGAAGGGCGGCCTCTCATTTTTCAATGGGTGAGTTGACACGATTATTTGTACTCGATTGAGCTTAGTCAATTTAAACCAAATTCAAAATATCAATTCTCCTAACTTATAATTACCAAATATTTCTTTCAATTTTAGCTCTGAAAATTTGGTGGTGCTGTACATCAAGACAATGTCCTTTAGCTATTTGACGGTTTTATTTATTCTCCTTACTTGTTCAGTGCTTCAATGTGTATCAAATATTTTAGGAGAAATCAGGTCTTTATGGCGTTTGGTAATTTAAGGACGTGCGCGCGAAAATTTTCCAACATTGATTTTTTTCTGAGACTTTTACCACTATAAGATGATGGGTTAGTTATGTCAAAAATGTAAAAAAAAGAAATGGGGGGTCACCGACTTCGTTTTGGAGAGAACATGCCCAGAAGAACACCCTAAATCTGAAAGAATCGGGCTTTGATAAGGCCACAGTGTCTGTAAGCCCAAAAATATTGCAATTAAACCTTTGAAGTGAAATGTTCTCTGTCAAATATTGTTTAAGTGGACCCATTTTAATGGGTCCACTTAAAAGTGAATTTAGTCAACTGGTGAGTCAACTTCAACTTCAACTTCACTTTATTTTGCTCTTACATTTGGAATTACAATATTAACATAAAAAAGAAAGAAAGATACATATATAACAGTTAAAGGTCACAATGGTATATAGTTTGTGCATGGAGGCTAATAGAACCGCGAGGTTATCGAGTTAGCCTCCATCTCGTTTAAGTGAACATAGAAAACATGGGAGTAGAAGGACGGATTACTAAAGGAAAGAGCTAGAAGAATTGTGGAAACTTACGTTTAATATTGCTGAGATAGAACATAGTTTTTAACACTTTTGGAGAAAGCAAATTGATGTAAATCTTTAAACTTGTATAGTATTTCTTGCCAAAGATCGGTGGCCATATATGAGATCATTTGCTTACCAGTGTTTGTTTTAACTCGGAATTTGTGAAGATTTTGATTGGCGGCACACCTGGTGTAATAATTATGTACGTTGCTGGCATACTGACAAAAATGGTTAAAGAGTCTTTTGAGGTTCCTTAAAGAACAAGTTCGCATTTAGCGACCATAGTTTCACGCGCCTTGCAGCCGCAAGATGGCAGGATTCGATGTCCCGTGGACTGAAAACTTGAAATTTTTTTTGCTTTCCATATTGATTTTTTGTTCATTCTTGGACAATGTGGAGATAATTGTAAATAAAATCTGTTTCTGGAAAGAGAAGTAGGGGTCACCGAACTTCCAAGATCGTTAAATCCAGGCAAAGCTATANGGGAGAAGTTAACGATGGGCAAGCTTCCTGTTTGCCGCCAAGAGGAGATTATATATTATAATCTTTTGCTACGAACTATGATTTATGAAACTTCGCGCTTTTTTTTTTATTACCATAAGCAGTTTTACTCTGCCCAGATGAAATAGGCTCTCTGTGCGCTCTGCATACCTGTGATTTTTACCGAGTTATTTACTCTTTTTGCACAGGTAATTCTCCTGAAGCACACAGGAATCTAAACATTGCAACAGAAATCTTGCTGGCTAATGTCACAGGTGAATCAGCGCTCTGTTGAGTTTTATTTTTTGTCCATGTACGACGTATGTCCCTGCTTGTTTCTCTAGCTAACTTTCGTGTTTTGGTTCGATATACTAAATTTATGCCAAAGAATGTGCCAAATAATGCACCATGTGTTTTTGCGACTTGAAAAATAATCCTCATCATTTTCTAAGATATAGTTGTCGCCTTGAAGATTGAAAAGTTTTATTTACGTGAATAATCTTGCAAAAGCAATTATTACAAATAAACTGAATTTAGCCTGTTGAACAGAAAAGATTAACACAGACTTTTGCGGCATGATTAGTACTGAATCCGAGCGCTTTATAAGAAATGACTTTGACAGTGACACAATGGTAGACGAGTAAAAACTGCAACAAAGTACGGCATGAGATTTTATTCGCAGATTTGCAATTTTGGAGCTAGTTTAAGGTTACCTACCGTATACCTTTCTGAGAGCACCTTTAGAGGTGTGTCGCGTCCAAGCGATGTAGCGCGTCCGGTTTAAACTGCAGATACCTAAACCCCTATATCAAATTAAAGCTCATAGAGCCGGCTGGCTATCACACAATACCAAGAATCTTGAAATAAAATGAATTTTCGAATTTTTCACGACCTTAAAATGTGAGCTTCAAATGTCTTTTGGGTCCCTTTTGAAGGCTGCAAGTTAAAGGGAATTTGTTCGCTCCCTCTCAAATTTGGACAGTAGTTAGTTTGACANGTAGATACCTAAACCCCTATATCAAATTAAAGCTCATAGAGTTGGCTGGCTATCACACAATACCAAGAATCTTGAAATAAAATGAATTGTCGAATTTTTCACGACCTTAAAATGTGAGCTTCAAATGTCTTTTGGGTCTCTTTTGAAGGCTGCAAGTTAAAGGGAATTTGTTTGTTCCCTCCCAAATTTGGACAGTAGTTAGTTTGACATAAACAACAAAAACGTACCAGTGAATTTTTTTCCAGATATTTTTCTCCGGGCGCGATTTTCCTACGTTACCTTCTGTAACGCGAGACACCTCTTAAGGTATACGGTAACCTTAATTGTGGAAAGTTTTTTTTTTCCTGAATGATCGGAGCTTTTTTGTCTTACAAATCTATTTATCGCTCATTTTTTTAACGGGAAAATGCTCTTGTAAAAACTAGCTTGTTCCAAGCTCTCGGTCAGTAGGGACGATCGGGAAGGCAGGCGGGCGACGAGCGGGGTCTTTCTCTCACGGATCCCGCTCGTCGCTGATCCCGCTCGTCGCTGATCCCGCTCGTCGCCCGCTCGCTTTTTCGATTGTCCCCACTGACCGAGAGCCTGGAAAGGGCTAGTAAAAGCCAAAAGATAACAGGGTCACATCGACGCTTTTGCACGTCACCATCTTAAGCAATCAGGCCCCAGTCATTTAAAGGGTGCATGACACTATCCAACGGATAAATCACTATCCAGTAGATAGTGCAGTTTGTTTTGCTAACACTTATCCTCTGGATAGCGCTTTATCCGGTGTATTTATCCAGCCTTTGAACAACTTGGCTCAGATGCAAAAGCAAAGCCATTCGTACCGGTCAAGTGTGTTTTTCAGCACTTGGTACCAGTCACGATCTTTTGTTTTGCGTTCTCATTGGTTCACTGTATTGGTTATGATCACTGCTGAAATCGGCTCAGAAAACGCTTTGTGTCTAATAGCAACAGAAAAAGGAGATGCTGAGTGTAAGGAAAATGAATCTGGAAATCCGTTAAGTTTCTTCACTGAAGAGGTTGATATAAACTGCAAAGATGACGAACTGAACGCCATTTTTTACACCAGAAGGGCGGCCTCTCATTTTTCAATGGGTGAGTTCGCACAATTATTTGTACTCGATTGAACTTAGTTGACTTAAACCAAATTCAAAATATCAATTCTCTTAACTTGTAATTACCAAATATTTCTTACAATTTTAGCTCTGAGAATTGGGTGGTACATCAAGAAATTGTCTTTTAGCTATTTGACGGTTATATTTATTCTCCTTTATTTTACTTCTTCAGTGCTTGAATGTGTATCAAATATTTTAGGAGAAATCGGGTCTTTATCGCGTTTGGTAATTTAATTGGTGAGGCGTTTCATAGTAATTTCATGAAATAATGTTTTAGCTTTTGATGAGAACTGCAGTGGACAGATAGTTATTGTATCACGTGTATGACGTGTCCCTGAGTGTTGTGTTGTTGAACTAGACCATTTTACTAGTTAACAAGAGCTGCTCAAATTCTGGCGATCAAACTTGGTCTAGTAAATGTTTTTATTCTGTTCATGCTCAGTAGCACTTTCCAATCTTTACGTACTTATAAATAATCGATAAATACGTTATTCACTAGATTGCCACTCTCCACAGGTAATTTTCATGACGCAGTCAAGGACGCGAAACGTGCAAGAGCATTCCACTATTGTTATCGAGGTGTAAGAACATTCCAGAAATCTCCCATACAAGCTATTGTTACAGGTAAATAAACGTTCCGTGTCAGCTTTGTCTTGTTACGTGCCTAGAAAGTGCAGGAAGCCAAGAAAACCACGATGCAGTAACGCACCTATCAATGTAAATCCCGCGCCGGGTTGGGGGGGGCAATGCGGGAAAGAGGCGGGGATTTGATGCCTAGGACGATCGCTCCATTCGGGCTTTTTCTCGTGCGATGCGGCTACAGGGTCGGAGCTATAACTGTAGTTATAATCCATCAAATATTTTCGCTCGCGTTATTGGTCTAAACGCTTCACGTGAGTGATTATGCCCCAGCTAAAACTGGGAAATATCCGACTAATATCCCCCAATTTTCAAAACTGTACGTGTTGGAAAGAATAATAAACACAAAAGTGGGAGAAAAACAAACTCAAAAAATGGCTTCGGACCCCGGTTAGAATTTTAGGAATACTTGTCTCCGAAGAGGTGAAAGGAAATATCGAATGGAATTTCAATCGTAAACTAAGGAAGCTGCAAACAAAACTTGATATGTGGAGAGCGAGAGATCTTACATTGTTTGGTAGAGTAATGATACTAAAATCCCTTGGTTTGTCAAAACTAATTTACTCATCCTCGATCCTCAACATTCCTGAAGGTTTCGCACACTTAGTGAAAACAAAATTATTTAAATTTTTTTGGAAAAACAAAAGAGAGAAAATTAAAAGATCCGGACGGTATCAGGACCTGGACAAAGGCGGATTACGCATAATAGATATAAAGATCATGTTTAAGGCTCTTAAGCTAGCATGGATTCCTAGACTCCTGTCTCCCGGAAGGCAAAATTGGAAAACAATCCCAGACTATTATTTACGCAAATTAGGAGGACTAAATTTCTTATTAAGGTGTAATTACGATCCAGAACACCTTAACACTTTGCCCTCGTTCTATCAAAGTATTTTAAAGTATTTCAACGAATTGAAAAATCTTTATGATTTCGATCAAGCACAGGATTTAATTCTGTCTAATAATAAAGAGATACTTGTAGATGGTAAAACATTTTTTTTAAGGGACTGGTTTAACAAGGGCATTTTATCCATCCAAGACCTTCTTGACGACGCCGGCCATATATTGTCGTATCAGGAATTTAACAACAAATACTCGTGCAAATCAAACTTTCTTCAATACTATCAGGTCATACGTGCTATTCCAAAGGATCTACTAAACAAAGCAAAACTCAGTGATCCAACCAGGAAGGAATTATATTTCACTGAAAACTTTACCATCCAATTAAATGAATCCACACAACTTGTTTCAAATAAGGCCAAAACCTGCGACTGTTACAAACTATTAAATGTGAAGACCCATACAGCTGAACATACACGTCCTAAAAGATGGAACGAAAATCTATCCACCATGCATATGAATGAAGACTCCTGGAAAAAAAGCATTTACCTCCATCAAAAATCTATGCAAAGAAACCAAGTTAAAAGAATTTCAGTTTAAGCTGATTCACCGCATTATAGTTACTAAAAAAGAGCTATGCTGTTTTGGCATCAAACCAGATGACGACTGCTTATACTGTGGAGAAAAAGATTCCGTTGACCATTCATTCAAAGATTGTCGGTTTGTAATTTCCTTCGATACTGAGGTTATCAAATGGCTCAACGCAAGAAATAATTCAAAGTTCAACCCATCCATTGAAGAAAAACTTTTTGGCCTAGACAAGGGTCCGCATAATAAAGAGCTAGTAAAGAAATTTAACTACATGATGCT